ACAACTGGGCTGCAGGGTGGCTTCCAATCCACTGTTTAAGGATCAGAGACATGGCAGGCAGAAATCCCAGGTCGGGGAGAGCTGGAGCTTCCTAAAGATGGAAGGAGGCTGAGGAAGCGATGGGAGAGAGCGCTAAGACAGAGGAGTCTCAGAGGCCCGGGCCACTGCCAGGCAACTTGCCCAGCAGCCCCAGCACAGGCACCAGGAAGGTGCACCCAGCTCTGGTCTTTGGGACCTGGTGACCATGTAAGATGGGAACGGGCGTCTCTCAGTAACCCCTGGGGCTGTCTCCATCATACCCTATTCCTGGGACATTTCCTGGATAAGGCCTGAAGAAAAGTAAGAATCTGGGCCCTTCTGTCTGGGTTTAAATCCCAGCTCTGCTGCCTGCCTGCTGTGTGATCTGGCCAGGTGACTCCACCTCTCTGAGCCTTCCTTCTCTGCCTATCCATCAGGGGGTCACTGTGCCCGCCCGGCTGCGTCCTTCCCCAGCACCAGCAGGTTCTGGGCAGCGGGTTCAGTCACTGGCCATGCTGAGGCTCTGTAATTAATCATCTTCTGGTGTTGCCTGATTGATCACTGTGCAGGAGGTGCTTAGCATGGTGCCTGGCTTCAGGTGGGGGCGGTTGTCAGCGTCACCTGCTGCCTGCACATCTGTCCATCAGCCCTGTTCACACAACAGGTGTGCAAGCCATGCCCTGAGAGAGAGCAGCTTGCCTTGATGCTACCAGCCCTGGGGTAACAGCCCAGGCAGGGAGGCGGGATGTGGTGGGATTGCCTGTTCTCGAACCCTACATCCTCCAGGTCTCTGGGTTGAACTGAGTCGGCAGCTCTAAGTGGGGTGCAGGGGGAACAGGGATCCTGTGATGGGCTGTAGGTTGCCTAGCAGAGGAGACCAAGGCTGAGCAGGGGAGGGTCCACAAAGCTTCTGTGCACACAGTAACCCAAATACTCGCCCACGGGGAGGGGCTGATGGAACACTATAGGCTCTGCGAACCTGTGAGGCGTTTAATTAAATGCCCTCTTAATCAAGAGTTGATCGTGAAGGCAGGGAAGTGCCCTGTTTGTGTGAGACCCTGGGATGGCCCAAGGGCCAACGAGCAGGAATGTGGGAGGGAGGAATAGAGGCAGGGAGGAAGGGGTGGGGTGGTAGGGGCGTGCAGAACCAGGACCTGGGGACGGCAGGAGATGCAGTCACCACCTTCGCTCTGTGAACTGAGAAATATTTATTGAGCACATGTCATACCCGGTCCCACTGTGCCAACTGGGGTCGCAGCAAACACTGGCTGCAGAGTTGTGTTTAGGGAACTAAACTGGCAGGGAAATTCACAAGGAACCAGCCAGAACCAGAATGATGAATGTTGAGAAGAAAGGGGTGCCTGGGTCGGCATGGGAGGCCTTCCCAAGGCTGAACGGAGAGGTACCAGGTGATGAGGGATAGGTAGAGAAGTATGCAAAGGCACAAAGGCCAGGCTGAGAGAAGGGAGCCACCACCCCATCTGAACTTCAAGTTCTGAGCATCTCTCTACCAGCTGTCACCCTGAGACACCTACAGTTGGGGGGGGCTGTGGGGATGGCTCAGTCAGTAAAGAGGACCTGAATTTGGACCCCCTTCCCATGTAGAACACTAGGTGCAGTGGCATGCGCCTGTAATCCTAGCGCTGAGGAGGTAGAGACCGGGTGGGGGTCGCTGGAGCCCTCTGGCCAGGCAGCCTAGCTGAGCTCCAGGTTCAGTGAGAGAGCCTGTCCCAAATGTAAGGTGGAGAGGGACAGAGGACACTTGACACTGATACATGTGCATGAGATGCCAACACACGCTTTGCTTGGAGAGCACAGCCCGACATAAAGTGAACACAAAAAACGAGACGTGACAACTAAGTCTCCAGCTTCTGCCAAAAGCACTCCTGCAGAGGGAAGGAAGTGGCTGGGAGCACACACTTGGCAGGTGTCGGGAGCACAGGCTCTGTCTGGGCGGGAGGGGTACCCCCTGGGTCCCTTGACTTCCTCCGTCTTTTCCCCTCCCCCCTCCTCAGGGCTCAAGCGGATCCACGCCCTGACCACGCAAGCAGCCTATGAGCTTCACGTGGACCTGGAAGACTTCGACAATGGTACTGCCTATGCCCACTATGGGAGCTTTGGTGTGGGCTTGTTCTCGGTGGACCCCGAGGAGGATGGGTACCCACTCACGGTGGCCGACTACTCAGGCACTGCAGGTGAGGTTCACAGTGCAGCAGGGAGAGCTGGCCAGAGGGCTAAGCCCCTCTGACCTCTGGGGTCAGGGTCTAGGCCACAAGTCCCGTCGAGTCCTCGCCCTTGCAGCCCTATGGAGCCTGGGTAGTTTCCACGTTTCACAGAGTAAAGAGCCGAGCCCAGAGCTGGAGCCAGGGGATTCCTGGGGAATCCCTGTGGGGCCACTAAGTTGTAGATGAGACCTCTGGGCTGGCTTTCTCCTCTCCGATAAAAGAATGGGCGTGTCAGAAAGCTGGGAGGAGGGTGGAGGCCGCCTGGACACAGAACAGCAAGAAGGTATGCACATGGTTTGGGGTTGGCAGGTGAGCTGCCCGGGCCCAGGTCCACACGCACACCAGGCCCACACGGTTGGTGGACAGGGTTCTGGGGCCTGTGCACACCTCTGCCCAGGGGTTCACCCCTGTGTGCACCTGCCCTGCAGGTGACTCCCTCCTAAAGCACAGTGGGATGAGATTCACCACCAAGGACCGGGACAGCGACCACTCGGAGAACAACTGTGCTGCCTTCTACCGAGGAGCCTGGTGGTACCGCAACTGCCACACATCCAACCTCAACGGCCAGTACCTGCGTGGTCCCCATGCCTCCTATGCTGACGGCGTCGAGTGGTCCTCCTGGACTGGTTGGCAGTATTCACTCAAGTTCTCGGAGATGAAGATCCGGCCGGTCCGAGAGGACCGCTAGACTGGCACACGGCCCATCACTGGTGTCCTCTGGTTATGTCCAGTCCCCACACATCTCACCCCATGCCCGCTCCATGCCCGCTGTTGCAAGAACATTCTCTGCCCACCTGTGCATGGCCGACCTGCTCTTCTTTAGGGGTGGCTTAGGGCCAGCCCTTAAACTCAGCTCCCGGAGCCAGTGACAACCCCTTTGCAACTAGGTCCCTATTTATCAGCTGACATGATTTCGTTTCTACCAGTGGGACTAGCACCTGGCAACCCCAAATCCCACTTGCCCCAACTTTGGTCCCCATGCTGTGTCTGATGCCTCCTGGCAGGGCAGCAACCCCCCACTTTTCCTGACTTTGTGAGAACATCGAGAGTAGGGGCCAAACAGCACTCTGGACCTCTCCAGCAGATCAACGCGGAAGGCTCAGGCCTTCAGACACCTGCCTGCCCGCCCTAGCCCCACTCCCTCTGGGCCTGGAGACCCCACTTCTTATCAGACACCCCCAATAGCTGGGGCTGAGCATTGCTTGGTCTTGTCACCTTGTGGGCATCTGGCCTGAGACACAGCTGTCTACAGAGCCCCAAACCCCAAGGCTGAGGCCAGCCCCCTAGGCTGCCCTTCCCTGGGCCTCCGCAGAACTGAGAGGTTTCTGTCCTGGCTGCTTTCAAAGTTCATCTGCTTTTTCCCACTCAAGCGAGGTCTACCTGGCCTCCTGCATGGCGGCCATGGCGGCTGCCCCACTTCACGTGCCTCTGGGGCAGGGTGGGACTGGTCTAAGCCAATGAGACCCTCTTGGGGCGGGGCTACACGAGGCTACAGTGCTTTGCTAACCCCGGTGGACTGCCTCTAGATCCTCCCGGAAGCCAGAGAGTAGAAGCAAGCAAGCCCTGCCTGCGACTCAGCATGGCCCAAAGCTGCCATCTCTGCAGAGAGGCTGCCCCCTACTGGTGATGATGGGTACTGCCATCAGGACCTACCGGGGCAGGAGGCTGAGGCACCAAGCAGGTTGGGCATCGGGACCTGCACCCCACCATTGCCCCCTACAGGTGATCTCCCAGGAAGGCAGGCTGCAGCCCCAGCCCTCAGTTGTGGGAACTTTGAAAAGGCTGGAAGGTAGGATGGCAATGCCCTCTGGTAGGAGGGCAGGCAGGCAGGCAGGCAGGGACCCCGCCCTTCCTTCCGCCAGACTTGTAGCAAAGCCTGAAGCCCACTGATGGACTGTGCTACCCGCTCAGTCCCTCACGTTGGGCCTCGGGTCTCAGTGAGAGTCGAAGCCGTCCTCAGTACTGGACAAGACCAGTTGTTACTTACTTGGTCCCCAGCTGGTGGTAAGGAACGTGGTTCCAGTCCAGAGTAGCCAGGGTTCTGACGGGACAAGGGACACACAGGGAACTCTGCCACCCCCGAGGCCGCCGCCGCTGAAGTAGCTTCTGCTGCCAGCCGCCTCTGTCAGCGCGGCTCAGAAGTGCCGGATGCTTTCTGATGTGTCATCAAACAAACCCCTGTGAGTGCGATGTTAACGGATTCACAGATGCCAGTGTGCGGCAGGCGGCCTGGGCTCCGGGCCAGGGCTGGGCTGCGGAACACAGGGCCAGCTGGTGGACAGGTGAGGGGTGACATGCATTCCTGTCTGGTCACACCGGAGCCCTTCAGAGCCCAGCCACTGCTCCAGGGACACCAAGCCCTCCCCAGGCCAGGCTGGTGCTCTAGGGAGTGTGGCTCCAAGTCCCTCAGCGTGGCGAGAGGCCAGCCCGACAGCCCTGCCTTCACCTCCTGAGTGTGCACCCCCAAAGGCAGATGGGAGCCTGTCCCTGCACCCTGGGTCACAGCCTCCAGCCCTGGCTTGAGGAGTTCGCTGGTCTGATGTCTGTGCAAGATGGCTGCCATCTGTGATCAGAGTGCCCACAGGAAGCAGGAATGCTGGAAAAACTTTGGGGGGTCAGGTTAGGTCCAGACCTACTTTGGTTTGACAATGGAATTGTCAAATTGACCTGAGTGAGTCCCATGATGTCACTTGGCCAAGCCACACTGCTCTCCTTCTGGGGCAGGGTCTCCATGCCCCACACTAGGGTCTTGGCAACATGGCTCTTTCTACTTGCAAACCATCAAAACCTCTCTCCAAGCGCAAGCTGGCTCTGTGGAGTCCACCGAAGGCCTCAAAACTGGCTGCACCTGTGCCACGCCAGCGGCCAGCTAGCCAGCGTGCAGTGAGTGGACAGCGCCTTGGTTCCCTTGCGAGCCTGAGCTTGTGAGAGATCAGGTTAGAGCTGTGTGCCTCTCCCGTGACGTCAGTGGCTCATGTGAGTGGGGCACTCGTGTTGGTGGGCAGAAGTGGCGTCACCGGTGTCCATCTCTTCCCTGCCTCCTCACCCTTGTCACCTCAAGCCTGTGGGTGGAACACGGGAGTCTGTGGCCACGGTCACTGTAGGTCCTGGCCCCCAAGGAGCACTCCTGGGAGAGAGCAGGGCCTTGGATGACCAGGAAGTGTGGACAACAGTGTGACCTTCCAGCTCCAGCCCAGATGTCTTGGCCCTGGAGCAGGAGATGTGGACAAGGGGCAGGGTCAGTGACCATGGCTGCCCTGGTCCCCGTCCTGTGATCTGAGGAGCAACATCCTGGCAGAGACTCATGGAGCTCAGAACTGTGATGAAGTGACATTGAGCCAATGGTCTGGGGGCCTCGGAGAGCCTCAGTTTCTTCATCCGCCTTGGGGGAAGGCTGCCGGCTGCTGTGATGGCCCAACCATTGGAGGGATCCATAAACCCAGAGGCCTGGAGTCAGGCTGCTGTGGAACTGGGGTGGGGGAGGGGTCCAACCTGAGGCTAGCTGTGATTAGTAGGGCAGGTGTGCATGCCGGTGGGTCCAACCGGGCCCTGGGGCTGGGGAGGAGCTCTGAGGGTCAGCGAAACAGCCCCATGGGCAAATGGTGTGGGGCAGTTGGTGGTGTGCACTTGGTGACTTGTATGTCCCTGTCTCCAATAAAGTCTTGTGTTGACCCCACTCCAGCACTCCTGTAGTCCTGCCCCACCCCATGTCACAGCAGAGCTAGGAGTGTTCTGGGACCGCTCTGCTTGACTCAGGGGTGGCTCTGTGCTCTCAATGAGTTACTGGCTGAGCAGAGACAGCCAAGCCTGGCGAGCGGCGAAAGGTAAAGCCTGCTTTCTGCATCCAGCAGGGCTGGTCTGGGAGTCTGGATCTCATGGATTCACCTAGGCCGACTCGCTCTATGCATGCCACTGGTGTCTCTCGGTGGTGAATCGTCCCTACAGGGGATGGGTCCTGGGGTTCTGAGGAGTTGATACTCCGAGGAACTAATTAACAGTCATTTATTCCTCAAATCAACTTGATGCTTCAACTTGAGGCCCAAGTTATCTCAAGAAAGTGTTGATTGGAGGAAGCGCATGGATGGAGGGAGACAGCAGCCTGGGGGCAGCTGGAGAGGCATCCACCAGGTCCCACTTTCTCCACATCCTCCTCGTCCTGTCCACTAAGCAGCTCATTTTGGGTACAGGGCTGGAGGGACAGAGATGGGAGTGCCTGGAGATAGGACTCCTGAGCCAGGACACAGAAACCCACGAAGATTGTGTCCACCTGTCTCCCCGTGGGGGCACACGGTCTAGGTGGGGGCATTGCCCATCTAGCCTGTTCCCTGACACCATGAAGCCACTGTGTGATGCTTCCCTCAGCTGGACCACTCTGGCTGTGGCTCCAAGAGCCATCTGGATAGGTCATACTGACCCAGTCTCATGGAGCTTTCCAGAGCTATCAAGGGGCTTGGGGACACGCCACCAACAAGGCGCAGTGCTGAGGGAAGAGAGCTCCCCAGGGCTCTGTGAGGAGACTGGAGAGGGCCTGAGTGGTGGTGAATGCCTGCGGGGTGGGCATCCTGCTGGTCATGGCTCAGTGGGTCCACGTGACCTTCGTGACATGAGGACTGCTGGGACATTATCAACTTCAGAGGTTCCGGGCTGCCTAAGATCATAGCTGGATGGACTTCCAGGCTGGGTCCTATTCTGAGAGGAATCATGTAGCTACATTCAGATGAAGCCAAGAGCCTGAGGACTGGATCAGTGCTTGGGAGGGCACAGCCCAGAGTGGCTGCCAGGAAAATGCCCATTCACACCCAGTCCCAGCCCTCACTCTGTGAGAAGCAAGGACAGGTCCACAAGTCAGGCTGTAGGTGATCTCAGATGAGTGGGTTGGGGCTCTGTAACCCAGGGAGCCTTAGAACCTTCTGGATAGTCGCTTCCTGCTCTGCTCAGCCTCTGACCTTGGTGAGGCCTGTGCTGCTGGATGACACTTGTCTGCACCCTCAGCTCCAGCCTCCACACCACACTGCCCTGGGTATCGGGCTGGTAAGGTCCGTAATGGCAGACAGCGGCTGAAGAAACGGGGGCTCAGGAATCAGAGAGCCCAACACAGGCAAGAGCCCAGGCTGTGTGCCTGGAAAGTGCTCTGGGAGTCTGACTGGGCCTCAGAGCCAAGACTTTGACTAAATCAAACATCTGTGCTCGCTTCCTGGCCTGAGGGGCATGGCATGACATGGGAAACCAGTCTGAGCTGAGGAACAGGTTGGCCACCAGGGGACCTGTCTGCAAAGGGTTCCAACCTGCCACACAGCTGCTGAAGCCTCAACTGGAGGTAGGGGACATTGTCATTAGTCACCAGAAAAACTGCACTGAGTGGCGGCCCTGGAATGGGCAGTGGCCAGACACCCGTGGGCAGCTTCCAGAGGGTGTGTTTGGTAAAAGCAGGGTGTCATGGAGGTCACTGTGAGAACAGCACCCAGGCGTGGACTCAGCGGAACAGAACCATGGTGTGTGGTGAGGGGTTGGAGGTGACAATCGCCATGTCCTCTCAGCAGACCTCACCACCTACCCTATGCCTTTGCCAAGGTCCACGCCTGGCTACCGTGATGCCCTGTCTCCGAGCCACTGTGGCAGCTACAGGGGAGGTGGGTGTGATCACGCTCAGTTGGGGTTCGGAAGGGCGGGCCCTGTGGCTTTATGTCAGGATGGGTAGCCAAGTCTGGGGTATGGATAGACATTAGGTACAGTCCCGCCATAGGGCTGGATGGTGAGAGACAGTGCACTCTCTGTGGGACAGACTAACAGCGGTGTTAGAGCTGAAGCTAGAGAGGGGCCTGCTTAGTTCTGGGGTCTGTCCCCTGCATCCCTCTGAAGCAAAAAGTCCTGTACAGTTTCACCTCTCCTAAGGCTTCAGAGAGGCTGTCTCACACACCAGCACCTCCTACAGAGGGACTGGTATCTGTGACACTCCAGCCCCCACAGAGTGAGGAAGGTGCCTCTGTAAGCCTACCCTCTCTGGAGGGAGACCACAGGGCAGCACCATCAGGGTTCTCAAGGGTGGGCACCGATGTCTCCAGCCAGGGTCTGCCGGGTCTGTGTCCACAGCTCATGGGTAATGATGCCCTCTCCAAAGGGCAGTGCCTGCCACTTTTATCAGACCACATCCTGTTTACATTGTGTCTTTGTCCTTGGCCCACACGGCCCCCGCCTTCACCACCAGCAACCCTAAAGGAATCCTAGGCCCAGGAATGCAGAGCAATCAGGCAGGCTGGGGCCATGACATCAGGGATCTGCATAAAACAGACCCCAGGGCCATGCCTCCTGGACCAGGACCCACGCAGCTCTGCCTGGCACCGGGGCCCTCCTGAGAGCAGCCCACAGCACAGTGAGTACAGCAGGAAACTCTCCAGGTGAGCTGGGTGCAGGCAGGCACAGCAGGAACCACACAGCGGGCAGGGCGGGTTGTGGGAGACCCCCAGATTCACCCTATGGGAAAGTCCCACCAATTCAGGTCAGCCCTAGCTGCCAGCTAGGAAGCATTTATCTCCGAGGATAAAGAATATTCCTCGGTCCTCACGCACTCTGTAGGAAGAAGGGAGTGATGCTTGCCTGTCCCCTGTGGGCCTGAGGAAGCCCCCATAGCAGCAGCAGGCTGGAGGCTACTGCAGCCCCTGGGGACCAGGGGGCTTAGCAAGCTGGATTTGGGCAGGAAGCTGGGCTGCTTTTGTTGTTGTTTTTGAAGCTTTCTGGCTGGGCTCACTTCTTTGAAATGTTTTCAAGGGAGCTGTTTCTGGAAAGAACGCCTCTTCCCCTGCTCCTATTCCAGCTTCAGGGGGCTCCTCAGAGGATGAGCCAGCCCAGTCTGGCTCACCCATGGTCATTGCAAAACAGACTTCCTCTGTGAGGGAGGGGGACAGTTCCCAACAGGGCAGAGGTGAGGGGGCCCCCAGTGACAGTGGAGAGCTATGGGGATGCAGAGTAATGAGGGTACCTTGAACTCGGCCCCCTCCCTCATGAGGCAAACCCTGCGCCTCTGAGCCCGAGGAATTGAGGGTGGCGCTGTGACTGGTGGGCTGGATGGTTGCGTGCAGGAGGCAAACATTTCCTAGAGGCCTGGTACACCAAGAAGTCACATGGACATTAGATCCGAGCCCCCACTCTGTCTGGCGAGGTGCAGTTTGCTAGACAGACTACTGTGAAGATAAGCCCATTCATGTGGGTAATCTTTAGCTCAGAGCCTGTCCTGTCCAGTGAGCTCAGTGGGTGCTGGCTGTCCCCAGCCTTGTCACTGGCTCCTCCCCAGGTAGGTGACTGAATTACACAAGGACCACCAGACCCATTTCCCCCTCCCAGGAGCAACTTGTCCCCGAGTTAGGGAGACAGTGGGGTTTCCCAGCAGACCAACTAGACCTATTCATTATCAAGTTGAAAACACGACTGCTTCTCACTCTGCCCGCGGCCCCAGAGTCAATAATTATAATAGAAAATTGAACCCGAACGCACACAGCCCTCAGGGCCACCCGGGTACCTCTGCAAGCCAGCTGGCAGCCGTGGTATTCTAGTACTGAGCCACGACGGCAGGCAGCTCCTTGGCTGCAGGTGAGTGAGAATAAGCCTAATTGGTACAGCCAGCTCCTGCGGTGGCTAAGAAAGGCTGGTCTCCAAGGCTAAGCTGAACCAGCAGCTATCCCTCTGAAGGCTGCCAGGCCTTGGGAAACTTGGGGCCAGGGCCTGCATGTGACCAAATGCTGGCCACTAACCCCCTCCTCTCCTTCCTCCGCTCAGATGAGGAGCCTTCACTCTTTGCCTTACCTCCTCCTCCTGCCACTGAGTGCCTGCTTTCCCCTGCTGGACACAAGGGGACCCACAGACGTCGGTGACATCGGAGCCAGGATGAGCTGGGCCCACCTGGCTGAGGGACGCAGACCCCACTCAGTGCGAAGTCCTTCCCCGTGGCTGAGAGTACCACAGCCACAGGCCCTGTTTGTGGTGGCCAAGGAACTGCAGGCCTTACGCAGGGAGCACACCGGCTTCCGCCTAGGGAGGCAGGATGGAAGCAGCGAGGCTGCTGCGGGGTTCCTGCCCACTGACTCAGAGAAGGCCAGCGGCCCCCTGGGGACCCTGGCGGAGGAGCTCAGCAGCTATAGCAGGAGGAAGGGAGGCTTCAGCTTTCGCTTTGGCCGCTGAGGGCCTTTGTGGACTCTGCCTGTCTTTCCTCTGTTGCCACCGTGTCCCCACGTCCCCCAAACCCCAAGGACCCAGGCCTGGAGAGAGCAAAGGCCTGTCATAATGAATTAGTGGTAGATAGATGTGCGCTCGACTTTTCATTTCCAACTTTGCTAAAGTGAAAAACTTGGGTGGTGTTTAAAAAAACAAAACAAATGAACAATCACCCACCCCCCCCCCCCCCCACACACACACAGGAGAAGAGCAAACGTGTCCTGGTTAGTAAGACGAAGTGTCCTTGTCCCAACCCATGACTCAGGCTGCTCTGTCTCAGCCCCCTCTTTCCCCATGGTCTGACTGGAGCAGCCCCCGGCCCCCAGGGGCAGGGCACTGGGCTGTGAACACAACAGGTCTGGTTCTGTTGTTCATTGGAGGGCAGGTGGGCTGAGATTACAACAGGAAATCAAAGTTCTGACAGTGCCCCCAGGGACGCTGGTAGCTGACATCTGAAGTGCCACTGTGAAAGAGCACACTCCACCGTGTATAGAACGTGGGTCTGAAAGGTCCAAATGAAGGGGAAAAAATAGCCCGTCCAAACACAAACCCAAGACAGAGCGTGTGCTCTCCACCCCATTAGCACAAGATGCCTCTGGCAAGGAAGCCCTGCAGTGGGCCGCAGCGGCACCAAGCTGCCCTTCCGATGGCCTGCCCGTCCCTCGGCAGCCCGCCCCCTCTGGCGACTGGCCTCGTCCATGGTAGTGTTTGCCAAGCCAAGGGCCTCATGGGAACGGAGCTCGTGGAAGGGATGGTTTTCTGCTAAGCAAGGTTGAGTTTCAAATACTAAAAACTAGGACTGTGCTGTGTGTATCTTGAAATAAAAGTAACCACCGCAGCATCATAATGGAATGCCGGCCTCCTCCTTCCAGGTCCTCTGGGCCTCAGAAACTTTTCTTGAGTTCTTGGAGCCTTTACTTTGGGGAGATGGAAATCAGGCTGTCTGTACCCCGTATACCTCTCCTACTAGCCCCTTAATTGGCAGCTGGGTGAAGGTACAGGGAGACACGGCACAGGCTGTTTCCTCTTCACTCCCCTGTTCCTTACCTATGTTTCTTAGAATAAGGAGGGGGGGGGGCTGACATCTCCACCTGGCGGGGCGGGGGGGGGGGGGCTCAGTCTGGGCTGTGTGCAGCCTGGGGCCAGGCAGAGCATCCCTTTCAAAGGCTGCTGAGTCTCCTACATCCCATCCCAGGTCAGACACACCCGTCAGAAGCAGCTCACTCCAGGGCTGGCTGTGACTGCTGAGATGAGGACTTATATTGATGTTTCCATGGCAACATCTCCCCTCCTCCTTGCCAGTGGCGGCTTGCCCCTGTTCACAATTGAATAATTTTCCATTGAGCTGTCACAATTAATTGGTAGATTTTTATTAGCCTTTTAGAACCACACTGGGCCAGGCCCAGCTTGGCACCTCACAGTATTCCGGTGTTTTCCGTTCTATTGGTGACTTACGTCCCCAGTAGCAGCTCTCAGTCCTCAGCATCCAGGAAGCCACTTCATTAAGGCTGACAGATCGGAGCCACGAGAGAACTATGTTGACTGGGGGGCAGGGCTGGGAGGTGAGGTGAGGAGGGAGGCCACAACCAAACACCCGACATTGGTACACAGCCGTCCCCAGAGCCCACACGAGGCTCCCCTGGGCCTTGCATGTGTGTCCTAGGCTGCAGTCACAGGGACAAGGCGAGGGCCCCAGAATCTGTGAGGCACATTTCTCTGCCTTCCCCACCATCACAGGAAGACGTAACTGAGGCTGTGTCCAGCAAAGGGATGCGGCTGCTCCCTGCTAGTGTGACACACTCCCTGGGTCCGTGTCTGTGAAGACACTCCTGAGACACAGGCGACTGTGGTCCCACCCAGCTTCTGTGGGGCACTAGCCTGGCTCAATCCCTCCCCTGGCTCATCCATACACACAGGAGACAGGCTGAGACAGCCAGACCACCAGCCGGGGCAGAAGGGTCCCTGGCAGGGCCCCGGTCCTTCTCGTCACTCTTCAGGTTGTATCCTGCCCGTGAGGCCGAGGGACCTGCACACCCTCACTCTGTGGGTCGGTGCTGGCACTCCGGCTCCAGCCCTCATGCATGGTAGGCAAGCGCTCTACCAGCGAGCTGCATCCCAAGCATGGCAGGCCCTTAATTTAGCAGGATTAGATTAACCATGATGGAGAAGACTGGGATGAAGGGGGGACCTTCAAAGGAATGAATCTGCTGTCATTACCTTTAATCATTAAAAGAACCAACAAAGCTATTTTTTTTTCCAGTTTGCTTGTACATTGGAGCTCAATAGCCCTGAAAATCAGAATACTCAGACTGCTAACGCATTGATCTGCTAAACCAGCTCGCCTATATGGTGCTAAACTCCCTTTTTAACCCCCTGCCCCCAAGTTTCCCACGCTCTAGCAAGGTCTAGGCCCTCTTCTGTCCTCTTGGGAATGAGGAAATCGCTCCTCTCCAGACTGGGGAAGGAGAGGCTCCGGGAAACATCTACCCCGAGGCAGACTCAGCCCCAGGCTGCTCACCGCTGGCCTGGCATCTGACTCTCAACCCAAGAGCTGTCTGTAGCTACTCACTGTATTTATTCAAGCCACAAACAAGAGCCAGGAATGGTGCGTGCTTATAATCCCCACCCTCCGGAGGTTGAAGCTGGAGGATCAGAAGTTCAAGGCCAGTTTCGGTTCCAGAGTGAGATGGAGGCCAGCCTGGACTAATGAACAAAAAATGAAAGAAAAAGGCCAATCTTCCCTATGGGCGTGCACATCTACAGGTTATTAGCTGCTAAGATGTGTGGAAAATGTCTGTCCATATTTTTCTGTTTGGAATACTATTTAAATGCTTAAGGAAGGAAAAAAAGAGGGTTTGGGGATTTAGCTCAGTGGTAGCGCTAGGCAAGCGCAAGGCCCTGGGTTTGGTCCTCAGCTCAGGCGGGGGTAGGGGGTGGGGGTGAAGAAAGGCCAAGGACAGCTAGCTGCCGGTCCTCACTCGCTCCAGTACCAGAGACACCACAGGAGATCCACAGACCCAACCATGAGTTTCTGGTCACCCTGTGCTCATGGTCTGTAGGCACAAGTCTCAAAGCTCCCGGGGGAACAGAATCCCAGAGGTGTCTGATTGCAGAATCGACATTAGCTGGACCAGGGTCCAGGTCAAGAGGCTAGGTCAGGGATGAAGGCAGTACCAATGATGGGGTGTGGCTGGGGGTGCTTGCTCTGCCTGGCCCCACTTAGTGTCATCTGTGCAAACCCAGACTTAGAAATGGCTTCCCAGGGGGCTGATAGCGCACTAAGGTGCTTGCCATGTGAGCAGGAGGACCTGAGTTCAAATCCGCAGCACCCATATACGCTGGGTGCATGTCTCTCATCCCAGCCCTGGTTGGGGGTGGGCAGTGAATGGTAGTAACTGAAGAAGAGACAGGTCCCTGGAGGTCACTGGCCAGCTAGCCAAGCCAACTGGTGAGCCTCAGGCTCAAGGAAGACCATCGCAAAAATACACTGGTGACTAAGGAAGACACTTAACATTGACATCTGTCCTACACCCGCGCGCGCACACACACACACACACACACACACACACACACACACACACACACACACACACAAGGCGGGGTGCGGGGACGGACTTCCCTAGAACACTGGAGTGGGACGGCATTGATTTAGATCTGGGCTTGTGAGGCCAAGCCAAGCAGCTTACCTTTATAGGTCACAGCCTGGGAGGTCCTCCGCTGGGCAGGATGCAGCTATCTGCACTGTCTACAAGACTCCCTGACCTGGTGGGCACATGCAGTGTGGCCTTGGCCAAGCCGCTTCACCTCTCTGAGCCTCAGCTGCTACTCTACGTCTCAGAGGACGGTGCCAGAGCTCAGAGGGACGCTGCAAACACTGCATGTGGCAGCAAGAGCTCAGGAGGAGGACTGTCTCTGCGGCACAGACACTTCCAGAATATGCGCCTATTCCAAGTGTAGGGACAGCCAGCAGCCAGCAGCAGCTGCAGCTGAGCCTGATGTGCAGTGATCTTTCTGCACCCCAGAACCGCAATGCCAACACAGCACGGTTACGAATCTCACCTCTGTGGGCAGAAGTCTGTCACTTCCGCCTCCCTTTTGATCTTGTGTACACACTCACACGTGCACGCACATTCCCCACAGTGCACACGTGGAGGACAGCTGGCAGCAGTCGGTTTTCTCCGTCCACCACGTGGGTCCCGGGGATTGAACTCAGGGCGTCCGTCAGGCTTGGCAGCAGGTGTTTGGCCCTCGGAGCCATCTTGCTGGCATGTGCAGAGGAGCATTTCTCTGGGCCACGCACAGCTATTAGATTCCAAGGAGCACCTGTGATCTAAGGTCAAGAAGGCCAGTCTTAGAAATGACTAAGTTTCAGGTGACACATTAGGACCTTGAGAGATAGAAGTATTTTATGCCCTGGGCCGAGGTGACCTATCTCACCCGTGGCCTTACATGAAGCCCTGGGAAAACAGGCCAGTAGTACTTGCCTGAGGCCATGGGGAGGACCCTGAGATGTAGGGGCGTGCCAGGGAGGAGTCACCCTGCCAGCAAGAATCTCAGGAGCTTATGTCTCTCCTACTCTAGGCCCGACACAGGACACTGCCACCTGCTAAAGGCTGACAAGAGCTGGGCAACTATGTGCCAGGGACACAGGGTGGCCCAGACATCCTGTTCGTGGATGGCAGCCACTATACTGCTTTATGGCAGCCAAATGTGCGGTGACCCTTTGGGACATGACGGGTAGCAGGGATGAATCACAGACCAAGCAATCTGTCAATACTTCTGTAAACACGTATTTATTTAAAAAATACTACAGAGAGATTTGGATTCAAAAACACAGAGTCATATACAGAAACAAAATGTACTGACTGAGAAAAAGGGATGTCACTGGTGTGCCAAAGGGGCACAGTGGCGACCTATTTACATGTCATTTATAAGAGAGCAAGTCTATTTAAAAAAAGTGTAATACC